TCATTCCCTAATGTACCCCTCCCTCCAATTTCCAAACTAGAAGACAGGAATTTTGCAATGCTTCCCTCTGGGACTGCAAAAAGATTAAAGCACAGCAAGACACGTATCCTCATGAAGCAGAGGGCATTATCAATGTTGGGTTACTGTCCTGTACATTGTGGGATGTTTAGCAGCGCTAAAACCCACTTCTCATTAAATTACAGTAGCACTTCCTCCAGTGTGACAGCCAAAAGTATCTCCAGACATTGCCAAAAGTCCCCTGGGAGCACAGTCATCTCCATTTGAGAACCACTACTGTAAAGCCAGAAGGGTGGGGAGGGCCATGAGGTGGATTTAATCTGCTCAATATACTCTTGTTGGGCAGTCACGATATGCAAGTCAATGTTGCATGTACTGCGAGAACCTTGAAGGGGAGTAAGGTAACTTTCAACATTGTATAGGAAGTGAATACAAATAACTAGAAACCAGAACAGCATGACATAAAAATTAGTGATGTCTCAATACATATTCAGAAAAAGGCAAACAAAATTCTCATTAGAAAAATAAAGAAGAGTGTTTCAAAATTTAGGTAGGACTTGAAGGAACAGCAGGATTCCAACAGATCGAGATGGGAGGTTAAGGTCTTTGAGGCCGAAGAAAGAGGACATTGGAAATTCATCTTGAGGAAGAGATTGAACAGCTTTGAATTCGACATGTTTTGGGTTTCATTTAGTTCATTATGAGGAGCCTTTCATTTGAGTTCACTTTATTTTTGATGAGGACAATGACATGATGAGAAGAAGATAACGGTGTCTTATGGGCCCTGTTCTCTTACTTTTATATTTAACTGTTTTCCCCACCCTTGCCATAAACTGTGGGGAGAGAAATGAGTTTGTGACCAATACAGCAAAAGATCCAGAGCACTTCTGCTGGATAAAATTTAATCAATAGAATGGATGAAGCTTATTATCATACAATTGTTATTTTCATAATAATTTATTATTATACATATAAAAACAGCTCAAGAAATGATCCTTTTGGAAAACAATGATTTCAAGAAATAGACAGAAAAAATGTTTATATTAGTTTCTGAAGTTTCACTGAGAAATTAGCATCCAAAATTTAATAGTATGGAAACTGAAAACACAATATAAATAAGAAGGGCAAAGAAATAATCTAAAGACCTTTGTTTGGAACACTGGTTCTTAACCTCTGAGGACTCATCTACTCCTTTGAGTATATGATGAAAACAATAGTTTCCTCCCAGAAAAATACCCATCGGTACATATTCATAAAATTTGGTATAACACTTAAGGGTGTTCTTGACTTTCTGAAGCCCATTCATGGCCTTTCTAGGCATCCATGTTCTCAGGTTCTAAAACCTTGACAGAAAATGACAGCTTACAAAATAGAGCTTTGCTTTGGGGACCTAAGAAACACTAGAAGTACCTAAAATCCCATGAGGGGGCAGTTTAGAATCTGAAGTGTCTAGGTTCTTTATAAATACTTGGATTTCTTTTGACTGGAATGCAGTAAAAAAGCATTTAGTTATTGTCCATGAAACTTCTAAAAGTTTAAATTACTTTTATTTGATGGAAATATTTCTGCATCTCTTAGAAGAAATATAATAGAAAAACAGAAAGAATCTTGAGTTGAAATCAAGAAGACTCTAGGGCTTCTTCCAAGCTGTTTGAACTTGCACTAATAATTTAACTTCTCTGAGCTATGGTTTTTATGCTTTTTAAAAAATAACAGAGTATGGGGCCATATGATTTTTAAGTCCTCTATAGGTTATAAAATTCCATCATTTAAATTAACTCATCTAAATCTTAAAAAATAAGACAGAAAAAATAACTTTCTAAAAATGAGAATAGCTGCAGTAATTTCCACAGTAACATATTTTCAGGAAGTTATTCAAAGCTAGATGTGGTTGAATTGCTAAATGACTGAATTTGCAAAAGTGGGCGATAATTAAGTCATTATGCTCAACCTGTATTAATTATTGATGACTTCTCTATGATTTTGAGGTAGAAGAGTTTTCTCCAAAAGAGGTTCTGACTGGGCTGTCTGAATGATGAATCATCTCCCACACCGAGGTGGTCTTCCTCAGCTCCAAGGTCCTCATAGGCACTACCAGGAAATTGACTGTGGTTGCCTGTGTTGTACTTGGCTTTTAACTTTAAAAAAAAAAGGGGGGGAACTTTCAATATTGATATCACCATGCTTTAGCCTGTAGGAGCAAAAGATTTTCTTTGAGGAAAAGTGGTTGACATTAAAAAATAATAATAATAATGCACTCAGCCAAGGCTCCAATCATCTGAATGCACTCATTTTGATTCATTTGTGTGGCTTTAAATCCGGCTGCACACATGCCAGGACCAAGGATCAGAAATGCATCTGGGTAACAGAAGCTGGTCAGTGTAGTCTCCTCCACCCCCTTTTGTTGTCTGTTTTTGTAACATATGCTAGGCACCAACGAGACAAACAAGGATAAAATAGTTTTCTCCTTTTCCATCTGGTTCTCTGCCAGAGATACAAAGCCCGGACAGAGCATCAGATTTCAATGTTCTGACTGCTGAGAAACCCCACTTTCTTGTTCTCTATCCATCACCATTCTTCTTCTTAACAAATATTTTTCCACCAAGTACAGAGCAATGGAGTCCAGTAAAATACAGGGCTATTTCTACTTACTCCCATCCCAATCCCTGGTCATTAGTACTTCTATTTGTGGGATAATACCTTTTGTGGCTTATTTGATAGGAATGTAGTCTGATGTAAGTGCTACATATTCACAGTATTTTGAACTCCTAAATTAAAAAAATTACAGATAGTTCTTTGGGTATAAATGGAATTCTGTTCTATGAGTTAACCAAAAAGTCTATTGTTTGGAGCTCATAGTATATTTCTCATGGAAATAATTTTAAAATGGTGATAAAACTCCAAGATAGAAGGGGGGTGGGGAAGGAGGCAAAGAAGAATGAAGGGAGGGAGGGAGGGAGGCTAAATCAATATAGGACACAAAATATTACACATCCTTTGCATGCAACATTTCTGTCTGTTCCATAACGGAAACTGAAAATCCCTCAGAAGCTTGGCAGCAGTATGGAAGGCAAGGACTGCTTCTTTCAAGTGTGTAAACAGTGGGTTCAATAAGGAGATGGTTGGTGGCACCTGCCCTCTGGAGAGCTGCAGACCGCCATGTGGCAACATTGCTGCAGCTTCTACCTCAAGAGGGTACAGGACCCCACAAGCTGGGGAGAGTGTGACTACTGCAGCTGTTCAGATTTGCAGAGCAATTTTTAACTGGGTGTTTTAACGTCTGTCAGAGATTGCCAAAACATGATTAAACCCTGCTATATAAAGAGTTGCAATCTAGAAATTTGTTTGGGACTTTAGAGATCTATTCGTATTTTTCAACTGGCTAACTGGGCATTATTGTGTATTACTAAGAGTAGTAGTTCCTTTTACGTAAAATTTTATCTTAAAATTTTTCAAACATTCAGAAAAGTAGACAAAATAATAGAATACATTTATGTATATTCATCATTTCAATTAAAAAATCATTATGATTTTGATTCATTTTCACTAGTTATCCTTTTTTTTCTTAATGCATTGCCACGTATCTTTTAGCAAAACATAGATCTCATGTCATGTATACTTCAGTTATACAACCCTAAAAAAACAATTACATCTTCCTACATGATGACAATCCCAACATAATTTTTAATAAAAACAGCATTTTTTATCATGCAATAACCCTGTATATAATCATTGTCTTAACCCTCATTGACTATAAAATGTCTATTTTGTTTGGTTTGTTCAAACCAGTATTCAAAACAAGATCACTCCATTTGGCTGTTTTGTAACTTAAATATCTTTTTATCTTGAGCAGTCCTGTCTCTTTATTTTTTCCCCATACCACTGACCTGTTGCCAATTCATGTCGGAGTCATGATTGTCGGGGGATGTTTTTTCTCCTAAAGCATCATTTAACTTACTCCTTTATTCCTCATATATCCTCAAATGGAAATTAGCTCTAGAGGTGAATAATTTCTTAAAATATAACAGTGATTGATTTTGTCATTAGTGGGCTCTAACAAATACATTTAGATCATAATTAAAGTAAACATTTTTAATTGTGCCTCTAAAATGGACTCAAAGATGGTGCATCTACAGGTAAAAGACCATTCAGGATTATATTCGAATAAGCAGAATCACCCTAATGCAGTAGGTAACAGCTGTTGCTACATGGCTGAGTATTGGGTGAAACCAACCCTCACCTAACCAGAAGGCAAATGCAATACTATGTTTTCCCTTCCCTAGTTATGTGCTAGTTACCATAAATCAACCAAGACACAGCTGAAAGGTGAAGAACATGAAATGACATGAGACCTGAGTGTGCCTTGACGGTGGTAGGATATAAATACTGTACTGTCTGTAATACTCAGAATATTATTATGTAGATATTTTTTAACATTTCCATTTTAAACATGAGGAAACTGAATTATAAAAAGCTTAAATTGTTTTCCTAAGATCACATAGTAATAAATGGAGGTTCCAGGAACTGAATTTCGGCAGCCTAACTCTTAACCTGTCTACTACTTTACTGCCTCTCAGTATAGTTAAAAACTTACTGTTATTTATTTATTTATTTGAGAGAAAGATTGCACATACACAATGGGTGGGAGAGGGAGGGGGAAGGACAGAGGGAGAGAGAGAGAATCTTAAGCAGGCTCCACACCCAGTGTGAGCCCAATGCTGGGCTCGATCTCACAACCCTGAGGTCACGACATGAGCCAAAATCAAGAGTTCGACACCTAACTGACGGAGGCACCCAGGTGCCCCATAGCTTATTGTTATTTTTATATGAATACCAGGAAGTAGAGAAACTTCTTCCAACTCTGAGGCCAACCTTGAAACTTGAAATATCTCTTAATCCATGTGGGCTTTTAATGTGAATATATATACACATTTATTGATACCTATGTGTATAAATATAAATATTGCTTTTGTTTTAAACAGGTCATCAATAATCTTGGTCCTTTGGAACTGATTATTAATACTCCTAGCCATCATAGGGTTCATCACGGTAAGGAAATTTGATCTTTTTTTCCTGCTTCATTACTCTGGAAACAGTATTATTTTGTATCTTCATCACAATTACTCAGCATAGTCACCATTCACTGTATAAATAGGTATCATTTCTTCCACTGCACCTGGACAAGCCTCATTTCCAAAGCAAAGATTGGAGGAAAAAAAAAAAAAAACCACCTTTCTTGGATTTTTCCTTTTTGCCTAGATCTCCTTAGTTGTAATGGAAAACAAGTTAACCACCTGAGGGGATGCACACTTTCTACATTGAAGGAGTCAGTTGAAGGTCACTTCCTGACCCAGTGCTGAGGGTCATTCCTATACACAGCCAGAAAGCCTCTGGTCTTGAAAATTGTCGGGATTTCAGGAAAGCCTAATAAACAGCAGTTCACTTTCTTGCCTAAATTCTGTGAACTGCATTAGCCTGACAAAGAAAATATCTCATGTGGCTAGTGCCTAAGGTTTAAAGACAGCATAAGACTTCACAAAAATGTTTACATGTGTGCGCCAAAAGACCTGTACAAGAATGTGCATAGCAGCATTATTTGTAATAGAAAAAAACAGAGATGAAATTCAAATGTTCATCACAGTGAACAGAGAAATTGTAGACTATGCCTGTAATGGGGAATTTTATAGCAATAAAAATGTCCAAACTATTGCAACTTGGGATGGCCTGAATAAATCTCACAAACACAATGTTGAGAGAAGGAAGACAGTAATAAAATAGTAAATATTGTTGTACTTCTTTTACAAATTTCCAGGCATCATAGGCAGCACTGGGAGACTGCAGGCCTGCCTTCCCAATCTGCAGGTCCCTTTCCTCCTGGCAGGGAGCAGATGGAAACATAAGCCGCACCCTTCCCCGCCAAGGAACAGGAGAGGGCAGAGTCAGGCTGCAGATGCTCAGTTTCCTCTTCCAAACTCCATAGGCATTTCCTGGAGCACCTAAGTGGCTCAGTTGGTTAAGCATCTGACTCTTGGTTTTGGCTCAGGTCATGATCTCAGGGTTATGAGATGAGCTCCATGATGGGCTCCTCACTGGGCATGGGGCCTGCTTAAGATTCTCTTTTTCCCTCTCCCCCTCCCTGCCCCTGCTCATGCTCTCTCTCTCTCCCCGTCTCTAAAAAAAAAAAAAAAAAAAGAATCCAAGCTCCATAGGCATTCCTCAACCCCAAGGGGATTGGTAGTGAGGGGCTGGAAAGGCCAAGGGTTATAGACTGTTCCTTCACATAAAAGGAAACATAAGGAGTGGAGAAGAATAAGTTCACATTGAAGAAGAAATGGTTGCTAGTGTTCTCTGTTTGACTTCAGGGTACCTTCCCACTCATGTTGTTTTGTACCTGGGTTTCTCAGCCTCAGCATTGTTAATGTTCTAGGCCAAACAGTTCTTCATTTGGAGGTGGGAGGTTAGGGGTGGGACTACCCTGTCTATTACAGGATGTTGGTCTTTACATACTAGATGCAAATAATATCTGCCCCCAGTTGTGACTCCCAGCAGTCCTCAGACATTGCCACATGTCCGCTGAGAAGCAAAATGTTCTCCCCACCCGACAGAGAACCACGGCTTAGCCCACATATGGCAACGGGTTGTATGTCTGTGAGTGTAGCCGGCCCCACGCCGCTTTCGCACTGGGGAAGGTTGTCTCTTGTGTCTTCACTTTTAAACATATATTTACTTATATAGAAGCATGTAAAGAAATGACACATAAAGACAGTTGAGTTTGTTGGAGCAATGGCTTGGTAGGTTAATGTTCTTCTTCCTTTGATTTACACTCACGTGTGAATATAGTTGTAGCTATTCACGCAATTTTTTTTTATTATTAAAGAAACTGTGCCCAGCTATTTCCATTTAAATTATAATTTGAATACTTTGGAGCAGGAAAAATATATATGTTTTGTGTTAATAAAAATAATCAAGGGTAATTTAATTTTCACTTATGTCTTTTATGACTTAAAAAAAAAAAGTAAAGTCTCACTTTAAGTAGAAAATTTTATTCCTGGAAAAGATGCAGAGAAAAGACATAGAGATAACTCACTTCAAAAAAAAAAAAGCAAATATACGTATATTATTTATCTTATTTCCTATTGCCTTTGTTTTGTGGGCCATTTAATTTTTAATTATTACTCTTTGATAGTCTTAAAGTAAAATTACTTAGATTTATCCCAGATTTCTAAAAAACTGGATAATTATGAGCAAAAACTTTTTTTTTAAATCTGGGATAATTCTAAATATATGTAGTTTTAAGGAATTCTTTGCTCTTTTTAGCAAAATTAACTCAAAAATAAATACAATAAAAACAGTTAACTAGCAAATAGCGTCAGTGAAAAGAGATTCCTAGGAAAATCATTTTGTTGCTAAGTCTTAATTTTGTGCATGGGTTCTAAAATACAATAAGATGTTTCAAAAGCATAACTTCATTTTTCAAAAAAGCCCTTTTTTAAATATTTTGTTTTATAGGCAGAAACCGTTATTGCATTGACAAAAATTATGCCGGTGTTCTTATTATATGGGATAGAATTTTTGGTAAGTAAAATGTATATGAATTTACAAATAGTAACTTAGTTCCTTAACTCACAGAAAGTCAAAGATCATATCCTTAATGTTTATCTTCCAGGGACATTTGAGGCAGAAAATGAGAAAGTTGTATATGGTCTAACACATCCCATTAATACATTTGAGCCATTCAAGGTGCAGGTAATGTAACTGATTTTATTTTTTTCTGAATTGATTATATCCTTTCATAAATCTTATAGTGAAAAGAAAGATCAATTGTTGAAAGGCGAAAGTATATTACACTATCCTGAAAAGAAGGGTTTTTTTTTTTTTTTAACCATAAAAGAAGTTGAAAGTAACTCTGGCACTCCAACAAAATCTTGAATCAACTTGGGTAAAATGCATTTGAAAACAACTCATTAAAAGAACTCATTAAGAACTCTTAAATATATCTACTACCGAGAATTTTTTAAAAAATAGCTCTTTAGCAAACATATTTCTTTCTCAGCACAGACCTGAAATATATTCATGTATTCAGAAGGAGCAGTAGTAAATGCATAATTAAGGCTGATACCACAGTAAGAAAAATACTTGCTTCAAAGCTGCATGACTCTGGTTAGAAATTCAACATGAGGCCTTTGCCCTACTCTTCTTGGACCTAAATGTCAGGAGCTATTATGAGTTGGTTAGGTCTGTGCATTACCTCACCTGCTAAGACTTGTTGCACTGGACCAGTTTTCTGTTAGACATGTGGTATTGGTTGTTCACTGATCTCAATGGCTGGCACTAGAGAAATGAGGAATGTCTGTGAAGCTCTGATCCATCAGCAACAGACCACCACAAACACTCCTGGGGTTAGGAACTAGTAAATGAGAAAAAGATAAGAATGCTTGAAAAAAAACCAAAAAGGTCAGTCAGCGACAGCTCTGAACAGGGGACCAGGTTTGCAGCATTCAGTAAGGGAAGAAATTACAGGTTCATGTGGGGTCTGCTTTTTGAACCTCTTTCTTGAAAGTTTTTAAGAAATTTAAAAGAACAAAATAAAGTGACATTTATTGAACTTTTACCATGAGCAGGGTATTGCTAACCGCTCCGCACAAATGTTTAAGGTAGCTCTTACTAAAACCTTATGAGACAGTCATCCTTTTTATCCTCGTTTTTTCAAGGATGAAACTGAAATTGCCAGGATTTAAATAAGTCAACCAGCTACCCACAGCAAGCTTAACCAAGGAGGGTTGCAGGCCAAGCCCGAGACTCACCTAGCTCAATAACTTTCGCACTGTGCTGCCTATTTACAGAATAAACCATCACAAATTGCCTCCACTTTTCAAATGAAAGATATTTTTATCTCACACTTCCATACTGAAAACTTGATTATTTTCTTCCTTCTCAATCATAGGCCATTTTTCTCTGTCTCTCTGCCTTTCTCTCTCTCTCTGTTGGACATTACTAAAAATATATCTCTCAGGAGAGTATTAACAAATATGTCACAGTACTTTCTTAATAAGGAACTTTATAGAGTTGAAATTAATTTAAAAATAACACATTGAGAGCTACCACTTTACTTGGTATAGTCTTATCTCTGAAATAAGGACATTAAAAAGGAAATAGCCCACTTGGTCTCTGTCCTCTGGGAAGGAGCCTTTGAAACTTCATGTGCATATGAATCATAAGAGGATTTATTAAAGTGCAGATTCTGTTCAGTCGGGCTGAGGTGTGTCCAACATTCCGTTTTCCTAACAAGCTCCCAGGAGATGCCAAACCTGTTGTTCCCTGGCTGATCCTTTAGGAGCAAGGCTTTGGGAGTGTACACTTCTGCTGAGGCAAAGGGGCTCATATCTGAGAATGAATGGGAGACTGAAAACTGCACAGCAAGGAGCTGGATGATTAGGATTTGGAGGGACCCAGTATTCAGACAACCACAGTATTTATGAGCAGCTGCTGAATCTGTGTTAGGTTCGGTGCCCCAGGCCTCTGCCCTCATGGAAACATTTCGTTATCACAACTGTGTCTGAGGCGTAGGCTTCTAGATGCTCGCTTACACTGTCAAAATGTTATATGGGCACGTTGTGTTAATTAGGAGTTCTTGAACCTACAAAAACATATACTTACTTTCACTTGCATTCCTTTATATTCAGCCAAATTTCTCACCTTTCCCTCAGAGGCATCAAAAGCAAGTAAGATGGCCCCCACTAGTTGGAGAGGGTTGTTTTTTTTTTTCCTCTTTATTATTAGGCATAGGACACTCACTTTGCTCTCCTTTGGAGTCCAGGAGTTTCAGGGCATTGGGAGGCAAATAAGAAAGTACTCCTTATTTTAAAATGTTACCATGTATTTCTCATGGCCTGTATCTAGAATGAGAGCAATAAAATGCAGTCAGGGGCACCAGGGTGGCTCGGTCGGTTGAGTGTCAGACTCCTGGTTTTGGCTCAGGTCATGATCTCAGGGTCCTGGGACCGATCGAGCCCTACGTTGGGCTCCACACTCAGCAGGGAGTCCTCTTGAAGTTATCTCTCTCTCCCTCTCCCTTTACCCTCCCCACACTCGTGCTCTCTCTTTCTCTTAAATAAATAAATAAATACTTAAAAATAAATAAAATGAAGTCAGTTTTCAAAATAACAGAACAGGTAAATATATTAATATGTATTGTAACTCCTAAGCACATTATATTTTGTATTATTATTATTTTTTATTATTAAGGCCCAGTGTAAATTTCCATTTGACAGTTCCCTTTTCCTCAAAATCTCCTCCACTAAACCCTACATTGTTCATTAATTGCTTCATATTCCTTATTGTAATGTTTCAAGAAATTTTAAAACCATTTTTATAATCCTAGCAGTTTAAACTCTTTAAGAGACAATGAAAATGCCAGTAGGACCACAAATTCTCATAGAGCCAAAACTCCTTTCTACATTAATTTATTACTTCACTTATAATAGAAGTCAGCATTTGAGTCTATAGCTCTAGGACTATTTTAAATCCTATGATGCATTACTATCACATGTATGGAATAACCAATTACCCTAATAGCTAATATTTACTGAGTACTTCTTATGTGTGAGCATACTTTTAACTTCTGTACCTGTCAAATGTACAGTGTTATTTACAGAATGTGAATTCCTACTATAAAACTCAGAGATGGCTTTGAGTATTTTTCCTCAATTGTAGACATGATTGTCTAAAACTCAGTACAGTAAATAAAGGGCTGTTTTTAAATCTGTAATATGTTTGCATGTTCAACATTAATATCCATTTAGCAAGACTTTAGAAATAATATCATTAGACACAGATGTTGAGTGCACAGCTGCTAAATTAATTCCATTGGAAGCAAAGACTCAACTCATTTTTTCTATTTTGCTGATTTTCTAAATCATTGTCCTCTTTTTAAATTTCAAAATTATAATTTTTGTGGAGCTTCAGAAATATTGACAAGAACACTCTTAAGGGACACAGAAGGAATAGAATGAATTACAATATGCAATTGCATATTAATCTATATTGAATGATACATAACCTGTATATTACAGAAAAAAATATAAATTGCATTGAATAATAAATAAAATATATGATTAATTATACTTCATATTTTTGTTATGTGTTTTTCTTATTTTAAATAAGCTATATTTTTATTCTTCTAGTTCCACCATTTAGTTTACATATGGACTACATTCTGGGCCACACCTGGATTCTTCAACAAGTTTTCTGTCATATTTAAAGGACCAGGATGGGGTCCAGGTAAACCAAGACTTGGACTGAATGAAGAAATCCCAGAGGTAAATAGAGTTCATGTTGGTGATGGTGAAGATTAGTATCATATTGCCAGGTCTACAGTCAAAATGTTATATGGGCACGTTGTGTTAATTAGGAGTTGCGTGCATGTTGACTTCATGCAGATCTGAAAAAAGATGTTCACTTAGGCAGATACTGCCCTTTGGTGCACAACTAACTGACTAGAAACCACCTAGGGGCCAATAAGAGTGGTGCCTTCTCCCAGGCAGACACTGCCTCTTACTGGGGAGCATGATTTGGGGAGCAGAGCAGCAGAGACTAGTTTTCAGATCCACTGAAATGTACAGCAAAGAGCCTTTGTATAATGCAAAAACTCTACAAACACATTCGCTTGGTCACAGAATCCTAAAACACTAGAGATGGAGGGAGCCTTAAAGATCACTCAGTGTAGCCTTCATTTTATTCATGAAAAAATGTAAAGATGGTCAGCATCATTAATGATCAGGGAAATGCAAATCTAAACCACAATGAGATATCACCTTATACCTGTTAGAATGGCTAAAATAAAAAAAGAAAAGAAATCACAAGTGTTGGTGAGGATGTGGAGAAAAAGAATCCCCCATATGCTGTTGCTGGGAATGTAAAATTGGTACAGCCAATGAATGAAGGGGCCTGGGAAATTCAAACTTCTAGTTATGAAATGAGTAAGTCACAGGAATAAAAGTCACAGCATAAAGAATATAATCAAGGATATTGTAATAGTGGTATATCAGGATAGATGGTAACTATACTTGTGGTAAACATAGCATAAGGTATAAATTTGTCAGATTACTAAATTGTATACCTGAAACTAATGTAACTATACTGAATTTAAAAAAAGAAATGAAGTCTCTAGAATGGAAGGTCTAAAGTCACACCAAGGTGATGTGGTTATTGGATTAGACCATAACTTCACCCATTCTCTAGTAGAGTAGTAGTAGCATTAAATTCAGAAATCACATTAAAACCCAAAAGTAAGTGAAGTGGAGATTTAAAACCCTGGAAACCCAATGAAAAATTCAATTTTAATCTGGAATTCTTATAGAGATGATAAAAAGAAATTTCTTTCCAATCCTTAGGATATAGATTGTGATTCCTTATAATAACTGTCATTAATAGTAATCTAAAAGCAATAGAAAGAGTAAACTATTGTTTGTATCAAAGATAATTGTGAGTATAAAAATTAGCCCATATTACAAGGAAATAAAATCAGTTTTTATTTGAATTTTGTTATTTTTCAAAAATCATGATCTAAATAAGAATGTTTTCTTATCCAGTTATAAAAGCTGCTATGCTGAAATTTCCCAGATGTTTTTAGTGTTGTTCATAACCAGTCATGTAACAATGAGCTGACCTGATTAGGTGAAAATAATTCCCTTATTTCAGCTCAGAAAATTTAGTTAACTCTGATCCATTTATTATTTCTTCTATTTTTCAATAGATAATCCAAAGTGAATATTCTAAAGTAATATTTGTGCCTAAATTTGCATTATAAAAGTAGAATTGTAGTATTTCTGGGAAACTCTATAGTTTAGGAAAGTTGTTGCCAATAAACCGGTATTTCCCTTTGAGGCATGATTATCTCCATTAGTAAAATAACCTTCCATTTTTTCTTTTTCTTTACTTTCATGTATAATCATGGACATATTTATGTATTCCTATTTTCATATTTCATATTTTAATGTTCATTTCGGTTGTTATCATCAGTACATACTGCTGACTCAAGTCTTCCACTGGTTTATTATAAAGCAGACTAAATCAAAATCATAATGCTTCTGAAATGAAAAACAAGTTTCTGAACTTTTATGTTTTTCTATCCAAAAACAAGAGAATGTTAGATTCATTCTGGGGGGAAAAAAAAAAAAAAGGAATAGCAAAGCTTTTCTTTTCTTTGTGCACATCTCCTCTCTGCTTAGTGTGAATTTCAGTGAGGGCAACAAGCCAGGGAGCAATGTAAAGAAAAGACGTCTTTCTTGTCTTCCTAGGTCACGGGGGAAGAAGTTCCCTTCTCATCATCGGTGTCTCACCTACTAAGGATCTATGCAGTTGCACAGTCTGCTTTGATGCTAGCATTTTATGAAGAGACCTTTGCGGATAAAGCTGTAAGTGGTATCCATTTTAAATATCTAGGAAATTTTGTGAGAAAACGATCTGTCACTTTGTCTGAGAATGGAAATTAGCTCCCAATATTATAGCTGTGCTCTATTTTTTTTCTGTGATGTCACTTTAATGTTGGCAATATCTCCCATTTAAACAGGTAAGTTAATTCTTCTAGACTATTAAATATAAATTAATTGATTATATCCAAAGTGTTCCTGTGAAGAATATCTATCAAATGGTCTGCCAAAGATATTGTCTAGGCTTTGGGGAAGCAGAATAAAAAGTCTTCCCTGAGAATTTTTAACCACAAACCAGCCCTCACTCAGGGATGGGTCCAGGATTTATACTAACTGTTGATTTATAAACCTAAATTAAGACTATAGTTTAAAGTGTTCTCAGATTAGGTCTCGCGCGTCTAATAGAACCATGTTCAAAGCATGCTTGGAGCAATCCCCTTGAACTCAAGTGTCAGAGTATTCCCAAAGATAAAGTCACAGTGATGATGAACTCAGAGTTAAACAACACAGAAACACACTGGGAGAAAGCAAACCATCATGACAAAGCCTTAGCAGAAACAACAAAAAACAGAATCAAACTCTCAAAAACAACAGATGTTGGAAATTAAAGTAAAACATAAATTTAGTAAATTTAGTATGTTTGAAGAAGCCGAAGATGAAATTAAAAAGAAATTAAAATTATGAAAACTTAAGAACAAGACTATCAAAAATCATAAGGCTCATTTAAAAATCTTCACATTAAACTTCTAGCACACAAAAATGTGATAATAGACCTGAGAAAGTCAATGATTTAAATAGCACTTTAAAGGCAAATTAAGAGAGAATTAGTGCATTAATAAATAGAGTCATCCATTATTTAAAAAAATGAACCACTATCCAGTGCTAAAAGACAATGAAATGAAAACAAAACATGACAAGTAATCTTCAGACATAAAGAATAGTGTGGAAAAGTCCAAAAAAAGAAAAAAGATGCAAGAACCAAAAAAAAAATTAAATGAATTCAGATGGATTAGTGGATAGTGAATTCAACCAAAACAAATTAACTTTTTTCAAAGAATAAGTCTGTGCTATTTACAGATATCAGTTCATGAAAACTCCATACTAACAGACATTAATAAATAATACATGCAGAAAAAATATATCTACCATAGGATTACTATTAATAATTTAATATATAAACCCTATAGAATCATTTTTAATAATTACATACCATTTTAATAATCCTAGTATAGTGGGGTGCCTGGGTGGCTCGGGTGGTTAAGCGGCTGCCTTCAGCTCATGTTATGATCCCATTGTCCTGGGATTGAGCCCCACATCAGGCTGCGCGCTCAGCAGGGAGCCTGCTTCTCCCTCTCCCTCTGCCTGCCTGTCTGCCTACTTGTGCTCTCTCTCTGTCTGTCAAATAAATACATAAAATCTTTAAAAATAAATAAATAAATAAATAAATAAATAAATAAATAAATAAATAAATAAAAATCCTAGTATAGTAATTCCACTGGAACAATTACAATTATTCCATACATCCTATATCATGAATTGTAAGAAAGAAGCCTACTTGAAATAGATTACTGGGTGTGTTAGATAGGACTCACTGGTTTTATGTGAGAGATATTCAACCCAGGGTAAATTTATTAACTCCTATAACTGAAGAGTTTGGGACTATTTCTTCATCAGGCAGTGCTGATCCAATGAGTCAAATAATGTTATCGGGAACTTTCTCATTCTTTCCTGCAGCTATGTTTTTCTCAGTGCAGATTCTCCTACAGACTCTCAGCCTTCATGGTGGCTAGATGGCTACCAGCAGCTCTAGTTTTAAATACTGCCAAACAAAGAATCCCAGAAGTGAAGGTTCCAAGTTGGAGTCTAATGTTCTGGATAGTACAGAACTAATCAGTGTCATCACTCTATGCATGGGAGAACAGAGTCAGCTCCACAGGATCCTCAGGATCAGAGAGGAAGAAAAGAATGGCTTAAAAGAAAATTAATTAGGTTATAGTACATAGAAAAAGGGAAATAGATTTGAGTAAGCAAAAATAACAAATGTTAGATGTTTATAAATCCTTCTCACTAATAAATATATGACTTAAACTTGTTTTCAAAAAAATATTCTTTAAACACTTATAAAATGCATAGTAACATGTAAACTTTCCTGTGGGATACCCTTACTTAAACTGTCTATGGCGTGCGGGTCTTTTAGATATCGTCTGCTCTAAGAAACAGAATATCCAATTAAATGTGTCTTAAATATAACTGGAAATTCAAGGGCAAGAGTTTCTGGGGTTGGTTAGTTTGTCAGTTCAAACATGTAGAGGTTCCAAAGAGGTTTCTCTATCATTCTCTTGGCTTTCATCATCATTAAGATAATGACAGCAACTTCAGTCTGCTGTACTCACAGACTGTGACCAAAAGCAGCAAGTTCACTTCTTCTATAGCATCTTATAAATTTCATTTTATTTAAGGAGGAAAAAAAGCCCCAGAATATTTCCCAGCAAATGTCCTTTCATGTCTCATTATTCAAGATGAATTCACATGTCCACACTGAACCAATAACTAACACCAGCTCATGAATTAACCATGAATGAATTATACCAGGGATAAAGAGTTCACTTCCCCCCTGAGCACAGTTCTTCCTTATACCTGGATAAAATCAGCCTTAGTAATAGTACAGAAGAAATGGGGGCTATTTCCTGGTTGGGCTGCCAATAGTTTGTGGCACAGTGTGTCCTACTAAATAAAATAGGTTTACAGAAAGTTATAAACATTACTGAAGAATATATTAAAGAAAGCCCATTTTAATTTTTAACCTTATTTAAGGACTTTACTGATTGGTATTATTCTTATGTATTTGTGGATTTTGCATTTAAAATTAATAAGCAAACATTGTTACAAGTAGTGACCCCAGTTTTGAAAGATAAGTTCATATTTGCTCTCTGTCCAAAGAGAATGTTTTTACAAAAACGACAGTAAAATATTTAATAGACTTTTCTGATTATAACAGAAAACAATGAATTAAATTCTAGTTTCCATTTTGTGAAGTGAAATTAAGAAATAGGATACAACGTGACCAGAAATTCTTGAGAATAGGATGGTAGGAAACATACTGGCTCATTGTTTGCTCTTTCGTATATGCACTACAATTAATGAAACCAGTTCCATGTTGTGCTGGGTTCATTTGCCTTTAGCTTCAAAATGAGACAAAATTTGAACTCAAGAATTTATTTCAGGAGCAAAGCTTTCTTAAAAGCAGCATGAACCAAATCACTCCTAGCAATGCATGTGTAGATACCAAATTACCATAATGGTGAGACTAAAATTCAAGTATTACATAAGTAAGCCATCACTGATTACTTTGTTAAACTACTTTGTTATCTTAATTTTTTCACCTAAGTAATGACTGAAATACGCATGTATTCGCAGAGTTTCCATGGTTGAAAGAGACCAGAAGAAAAGCTAGATCATCTACATCTAAATATCTAACTCTTGATAGACTTATCAATGTTGAGTACAGTTTGCATTAATGATTTTTTTAGTTGTACTAAGTAAAATACCAAAATAAATTATACCAATTCATAGAAACAAAACTAGAAATTTACCCATTTTGATTTTGAAATAGGAACCCTTGGCATTAAGTTCACCAAGAGAGTTCATGGTTTAGGCATGTATGAGTACTTCCTGGGCAAAAATGTAGCTAGACACAGTGTATATTAAAAGATGCAACTTATAGCAAGGTTTCACAAGATGTTTCTCCTGCCATAAAAAACAAACTCCTATAGATATATTGACAAAGACAAAAACCAAGTGTTGGTATCCTTTTCAAACTGGAATTAGAGTTGGAGACAGCTTCGTTCCTGACGCAAATTAATTTTGGAAGGTGTGTTTGCTTGTTTCCCACATATGTTTCTCCTTGCTAAAAACATGCTGTGCAACTAGGAAAAAAGTTGCTTATTTGTAAGATTCTGTAGTGCCTTTCTAGTCTCAGAGATGTTTAAAAGCATATGAAGACATTAACATCCAACAGCAATATTTTTTTTCCAGATTCACTGTAGCCAGTAATCACATAGAAAAGTTGTGGCTGACTTGTAATTGGGGCCCTGCTGTGGTCCCACAGCCTTTTCTGTTTATGCATATACCAGAGTAGATAAATACTTACTTGTTTTATGTGTGCAAGTTCTGTATAAATAACTTTGAGAGTCAAAAAAACAATTTGATGGCCACGACAAAGGTGTAAAAGGCACATTCCTTTCTTACTGAAACTTGAAATGCATACATTTAAATATATAGTGTTTAGTTTAGTGATATGACCCACAGACTTCTATGTTGATTTTGGTTTAGTAATGCTTGGGAAGTCAATTCCTTAGCTGCCAGGGTCCAGTTCATGGGGTGATACCATGAATACACGTTTGAAATGAAAATACGGACACACTAGCGTGTTTCCAAAGTAAAACTGTAAAGGCAATGCTATCCTTTTAAATAATAGACACACTCAAAATAGTTTCAGTATTTCACAGTCTTAGAATGTGTAGTAAAGTTAACTGCAGATACATTTTAACACAGATTATTTGATGATATATTTCAAGTTAATGATGCATCTGAGAATATCCAATATAAATTTGGGAACAGATTTTTATAGTTTTGAATTCCCCTGTATGCTGTATTCTGTAAAATATTATGGGCACTGCAATTTTATAACTAATGTTTTCATGTTGACAAGTTTTAACAGACTCTTTGAAAAAAATCAATATATTTAATGGTACTCTCATAACACAGTGTCACTTGTGCAAATTAGATCTAGCTTAGGTCTTATGTGAAATCTCTCAAGAATTTATTTGAGAGTATCTATCTACTGTTTGTTTGTTTGTTTTTTTTCCAGTGCAGTCCATTGAGATTTAATTTAATTTCCTAAAGTTTTTAGGTGGTAACCAAAGTAATATGAAAAAAGGAAATGTGAGCCAAAACGAGCATCAGTTATAACTGAAAGCCATGAA